AATATCGCGCCATCTATTGCAATATATTATAATTATTTCGATGTTTGACGGATTGCCTAAACTCCAATAAGATAATACATATCAAGTAACAACAACAAATCAATGTTTATACCAGACAGCAACGAAGAGAGCTCGATAAGTTAGCAGCTATCAGAGATATTTTTGAGCGAGTCTCCCAAAACATAGCAGATTCTGCACTCATACTTGAACAATACGTTTTTCCACTCATCTAGTGTCCAATTAATGTGTTCTCAGGTGAAAACAAGTCTACATCTTTTGTGAGCTATGGTAAGGAAAGGATTTGCTGCTGGATTCCAAGCAATTAGACCACTTTACTCTAACCTTGAGCTTGCCGCTTGGATTTTAGTGGTTTGTCTTATCGCTCAATGCAAAAATCATGACAAAGCGATCTTCTCTGGCTGTTAGGTTGGATTGGGTTTGCAAAATTAATCTGTCGCCCTTTTCATTTCCTATCTCTAACCCAAACCAACCCAAGTACTTGTCACAACTCCATCTGCTCACTCATTAAAGTCTCCAAGTATTGTAGTGATATCTTCTGTTTTTATGGTTGCGATTGGTTATGACTCAGGGTTGTCATAAAGATAGAATAACTCAATTTCTTCTTCAGGCTTGCCTACAGTAGGTTGTCTTCATTTTGTTTCCAAAGTTAATACTCTACGTGAATTAATGGCGGTGTACGATCATTTCGTAGTCTAAAAACTTTCTCTTCGATAACTTCTGAGTAAATCAAAATATTTTGATGATTTATATCTTAAAAGAAAGCCCAATTAATGTCAATTTAATTGTGATATGGCACGTTTTAATCGAATTTGTAGAATTGTTAAAATCCGCCTCTAGGTATACCCAAAAATTGTCCTAATTAAGATTTATGTTTTTTTTGATAACTTTTGAATAAATCAAGATATTTTGATGAATGATAGCTTAAAATAAAGCTTGATTAATGAAGATTCCACGATGATATCATATGTTCCTGTTTCATTTCAAAATTTTTTAGAATTAGGTTGCTCAGAATAAGATGAAATGGTCCAAATCGCAATCTAGAACTTTCTCTTCGATAACTTCTGAGTATATCAAGATATTTTGATGATTTATATCTCAAAAGAAATCCCAATTAATGTCAATTTAATTGTGGTATGGCACGTTTTAATCGAGTTTGTAGAATTTTTAAAATCCGCCTCTATGTATACCTAAAAATTGTCCTAATTAAGATTTATGTTCTTTTTTGATAACTTTTGAATAAATTAAGATGTTTTGATGAATGATATGTTAAAATAAAGCTTGATTAATGAAGATTCCACGATGATATCATATGTTGCTGTTGCATTTCTAAATTTTTTAGAATTAGGTTGCTCAGAATAAGATGAAATGGTCCAAATCGCAATTTAAAACTTTCTTTTCGATAACTTCTCCATAAATCAAAATATTTTGATGATTTATATCTTAAAAGAAAGCCCAATTAATATCAATTCAATTGTGATATGGCACGTTTTAAGCGAGTGTGTAGAATTTTTAAAATCTGACTCTAAGTATACCTAAATGTCGTCCAAATTAAGACTTACGTTTTTTTTTGATACTCTTTGAGCAAATGAAGATATTTTGATGAATGATATCTTAAAATAAAGCTTGATTAATGAAGATTCCACGATGATATCAAAGGTTTTAGTTTAATTTCTAGATTTTGTAAAATTAGGTTACTCAGAATAAGACGAAATGGTCCAAATCGCAATTTACAACGTTTTCTTCGATAACTTTTGAGCATATCAAAATATTTTGATGATTTATATCTCAAAAGAAACCCTGCTTAATGCAAATTCAATGGTGATGTGGCACGTTTAGATCGAATTAGTAGAATTGTTAAAATCTGCCTCTAAGTATACCTAAAAGTCGTCCAAATTAAGACTTACGTTTTTTTTTGATAACTTTTGAGCGAATCATGATATTTTGATGAATAATATCTTAAAATAAAGGTTGATTAATGAAGATTTCATGATGATATCAAAGGTTCTAGTTTAATTTCTACATTTTTTAAAATTAGGTTACTCAGAAATAGAGGAAACAGTCCAAATCGCACTTTAAAACTTTTTCTTCGATAACTTCTGAGGGTATCAAGATATTTTGATGATTTATATCTCAAAACAAACCCTAATTAATATCAATTTAATTGTGATATGGCACGTTTAAATCGAGTTAATAGAATTGTTAAAATCTGCTTCTAAGTATAGCCGAAAAATGTTAAAATTAAGATTTACGTTTTTTTTTGATAACTTTTGAGCAAATCAAGATATTTTGATGATTTATATCTCAAAAGAAACCCTAATTAATATACATTCAATGGTGATATGGCACGTTTAAATCGAGTTAGTAGAATTGTTAAAATTTACCTCTAAGTATAGCCGAAAAATGTTAAAATTAAGATTTACGTTTTTTTTTTGATAACTTTTGAGCAAATCAAGATATTTTGATGAATGATATCTTAAAATAAAGCTTGATTAACGAAGATTTCATGATGATATCAAAGGTTCCAGTTTAATTTCTACATTTTTTAAAATTAGGTTGCTCAGAATAAGAGGAAATGGTCCAAATCGCACTTTAAAACTTTTTCTTCGATAACTTCCGAGTATATCCAAATATTTTGATGATTCATATCTCAAAAGAAACCCTAATTAATATAAATTCAATAGTGATATGGCACGTTTAAATCGAGTTAGTAGAATTGTTAAAATCTGCCTCTAAGTATAGCCGAAAAATGTTAAAATTAAGATTTATGTTTTTTTTTGATAACTTTTGAGCGAATCAAGATATGTTGATGAATGATATCTTAAAATAATGCTTGATTAATGAAGATTCCACGATGATATCAAAGATTACAGTTTAATTTCTTGATTCTGTAAAATTAGGTTACTCAGATTATGATGAAATGGTCTAAATCGCAATTTTAAAACTTTTTCTTCGATAATTTCTGAATATATCAAAATATTTTGATGATTTATATCTCAAAACAAACCCTAATTAATATCAATTCAATGGTGATATGGCACGTTTAAATCATGTTGGTAGAATTTTTAAAATCTGCCTCTAAGTATAGCAAAGAAATGTTAAAATTAAGATTTACGTTTTTTTTTGATAACTTTTGAGCGAATCAAGATATTTTGACTAATGATATCTTAAAATAAAGCTTGATTAATGAAGATTCCACGATGATATCAAAGGTTTTAGTTTAATTTCTAGATTTTGTAAAATTAGGTTACTCAGCATAAGAGGAAATGGTCCAAATTGCACTTTAAAACTTTTTCTTCGATAACTTCTGAGTGTATCAAAATATTTTGATGATTTATATCTCAAAACAAACCCTAATTAATATCAATTTAATTGTGATATGGCACGTTTAAATCAAGTTGGTAGAATATTTAAAATCTGCCTCTAAGTATAGCCGAAAAATGTTAAAATTAAGATTTATGCTTTTTTTAATAACTTTTGAGCGAATCAAGATATTTTGATGAATGATATCTTAAAGTAAAGCTTGATTAATAGAGATTACACGATGATATCAAAATTTCCAGTTTATTTTCTAGATTTTTTAGAATTAGGTTATCCAGAATAAGATGAAATGGTCTAAATCGCAATTTAAAACTCTTTCTTCGATAACTTCTGAGGGTATCAAGATATTTTGATGATTTATATCTCAAAACAAACCCTAATTAATATCAATTCAATGGTGATATGGCACGTTTAAATCAAGTTGGTAGAATTTTTAAAATCTACCTCTAAGTATAGCAAAGAAATGTTAAAATTAAGATTTACGTTTTTTTTTGATAACTTTTGAGCGAATCAAGATATTTTGATGAATGATATCTTAAAATAAAGCTTGATTAATGAAGATTCCACGATGATATCAAAGGTTTTAGTTTAATTTCTAGATTTTGTAAAATTAGGTTACTCAGAATAAGACGAAATGGTCCAAATCGCAATTTACAACTAACTTTATCATTAAAATTCATGCCAACTTACAACTTGAAACCAATGGAATAAAACGTCATCCATAAAAGTTGTTCATAACGATTCCAACAGTTATTATTCATAATCAAATTCTATTCTGTCAAGATCAGTTACTAGATATTGAGCATAAATCGCCAAATCTTAAAATGTGACGTTTTCATTATAAAAATCGATTGTATCTCAAAAGCTAAAAGTCATGGAATGAAAAGTTATTTATAAAAATTATTCATAACGATTCCAAAAATCATTATTCATAATCAGATTCAATCCTGCTAAGATCACTTCATGGATATTGATTATAAATCGCCAAAAACTTAAAATATACCGTTTTTATTGCAAAAATCGTTTGTGACTCAAAAGCTGAAACTCATGGAAAGAAATGTTGTCCATGAAAATGTCCAATTACTATCAATTCAATAATGATATGGTACGTTTACATCGAATTTATAGAATGTTTAAAATCTGCCTCTAAGTATTAAGAGGAGGAGAATAAAAAAGAATGAAGTAGTGAAAGCTCATTCTTTACACTGTTTATTTATGGAAGTCAAATTAATGATTATATATAGTCGTAATAAAAACATTTTAAGCTTTAAATTAGAATTAAAATCACTTCTTTATTCCCACAAACAAATTAGATATGATTTGTTATTATTTTACTAATTCAATAAGCTCGAGTTGAATTGTAAGGCGAAAGATTTACTTTTACGGGAAGTCTCGAACGGTTTAAAACAAAATAAGCTAATCTAACAGTATGTTTTGACGTAAAATAACGTCTACTAAACACACAGGTCAGCTGTCGAACTGTGGAATCGCACGGGGGCCCAATGACGTTGGCCACAATCCAAATAACTATAAAATGTTACCGCTCAAAATAGAAACGATAGACGAAATAAGACGTTTTAAAACCGTCTCTGCCACAACAACACCTCTTTCACTTACAAGTTTTTTTTCCATTTACAAGTTTTTTAAATTTATTTTTTCAGAAACCGTTGCCGTCACGAACCAAATGACCTCCACTCAATCGGAAAAGTGTGGATTAACAACGCTATTTGTCATGTCGTGTAGAGGAAGAGCAGAAGCTTTTGCCAGACATTTGCAATCGAGGTTAAGCACGTTAAATAAAGAACCAAAAAGTGAAAATAAAGATGAGCCCGATGAAACAACTTGGTTGGGGAAAAACGAACAGATCGCTTTAACACAACCAAAACACAAAGAAATCCAAGACGATAAAGAAGATGATTTAAACGTGTCAATTTCATCAACAGAGTACGGAACGTGCCAAGATGATTTATCTAGAACATTAACAGAGGAAAGTTTCGCTTCCTTAGAAAGTGATATTATAAAAGATGACGTTGATTATAACGAAATTTTAATTAAAAATGAATATTACGAAAACGACACAAAAAATGAAGATGATTATATTTTAGAAAATGATCGTTCTAGTGAAGTAATTCAAGATTGTTGTGATGAAAACTGTGATATAACCGGTGTTGATGATTCTTTAACAAAAACGGAACTTTTAAATATAATAAACATCGAAACGAGTATACCAAACGGTGATTGCCATCATCTTCATCACCACCAAGACGATGAAATAACCCCTTTAAGAAGATGCTCGTCGTTAAGAACCGGAAAAACCCCTCCGGGAACACCGGGTAGAAAGAAAATCGTTAGATTTGCTGATGTTCTTGGATTAGATTTGGCCGATGTTAGAACGTTTTTGGACGAAATCCCAAAAATTCCCAACTCAGCTTACGTCGATCTTCAAGATGCAAACTTAATGTTTTCAAGCTGCTCGAAATCGCCCGAAAAGATTCTCATCCCCCTTTTTAGTCAACCGGGAGGTTTATCCGATTTTTTGCAACGAGTTCACGATAATAAAGTCTGTTTGGAAAACGCTCTCGTCGAAGACGTCTGTTTAATGTCGGTTAAAGGTACTGTTCGTGTGCTAAATTTAGATTTTCACAAAATGGTTCATGTCAGATATTCGGTCGATGGTTGGAGATCGTTTTCCGATCTTCAGTGCACTTACGTTATGAACTCTTGTGATGGATTTTCGGACAAATTTACGTTTCTCGTTTACGCAAATATGCTTAAGGTCGGCGAAAAACTCGAATTCGCCGTTCGGTATCAATGTAGAAATGGAAGCTTTTGGGACAACAATAATAAGTGTAACTACTCGTTTCAATGTTTACCGAGTACCAGCACAATGCCCTATAACCCGATTACTACAGAAGAACCTTGGGCCACCGCGTTTTATTAGTGAGTACGCATGGACAACATTTTTTTTAAGTCGCTGTTAGAATAGAAGGTAGATTTTTTTATGTATTTTATTTGGGGCTTTATTTTCTTCCTTAAAGCTTTTCTTTTTCGTATATGCTTTTGCAAGAAAATTATTTTTGTCGTCTTGAAATTATCTTAACTTTTTAATACACTTAATATTATTCTATACAAAATTTAAAATTAAAACATTCCAGATTCAGTCACATTCATTAAATTAGCACTAAATTGAATAAAATAAACCATAAATATGATGATGACATGGTTAATGTCATAATATTTTGAGCAAAAAATCTAATTCTTTTCTGGAGATTCTAAATTTTAGAAAATCCTGGAAATTATAATTCATTCTCAATAAATCCAGAAACTTTAGTCTGGCCTTGAACATGGCAGAAATAATAGGACCGCGTTATACATCACTTGATTAAGCGACAAATAAACAATGTTGAGAAAACCGGGATTTTCGTTTTCATCTCTCTAAAAATATAAGACTTCTCAGAATAGACAGGCTCAAACTATTGAAAATTGTTTAGTGTCTGTCCATTTTTATCACAGAACACTGATGACAAGCACAGAATTCGCGATATTTTTTTCTGATTACAATAATATAGGGTTTAATACAGGTCTATTTCTTATTGTTTTAGAATAAAGCTAAAAATAAACTTTTTTTTTAGTGTCATCAAAGAAATTAAATTTACAGTTTCCTGTAAATTATAACTAAAAATTAAAAAAACATATTTCTGATATTTGAAACAAATACATTTGTTGAACTATTTAATTTACACAAAAGTTGGTATAGATTGCATTATTTCACATTTTTTATTAATATTTAATATTATTATTAAATTAAAATAAAAAAAAATTAAAATTAAATGACATTTGTTTGTATTCAAAAATTTTCTGAAGTGTCAAATTAAAAATCCTGCTTTTTAAGATGGATTACGAAAATTACGAAAAATTTAACATGTTAGAATGTTACATATTAGAAAATAAAGTAAATGTTATAAACATTTTTAGTAGAATAATTTTTAGTTATAGTTACAGGAAACTGTAAATTTAATTTCTTTGACGACACTAAAAAAAGTTTATTTTTAGCTTTATTCTAAAACAATAAGAATTTTTTGACTACGTCATCAAATTCTTTGTAAAAAAGTGTCCATATAATGTTGTAGTTATAATACTCCACCTATAATAATAACCAAGATAATTGCACTTGCTGGTTTTACGATATTTTCAATTTTGGCCTCTAGGGGAAAAACAAAAGACGATAGTGCTTTGAGGTTTTTGGCATTAGTAGTTTCTCGAAAAACGAGATCATGACATGTAAGCTACTTTTTTTCTAACTCTTATAGTTTCCGAGATAGCCTATTCGCACATCGAATTTGAACCACCCTGTACAAATTTTTGAAGAAAATTATCTAGAGTTTGATTTTGTACTCTTCAACTAGTTTCTATTTTATATAGAATTTAAGTCTAACTAGTTTCGGCCCTTGGCCATCTTCAGAGACTCTATAAAGATCACATATCAAAGTCTAAATCAGATTATTAGTTACTAATTTACAAAATTAAAGTTTAAAACGTTGTAAAATAAATTTAAGAACGCCCTTTTAAAAAAAAAAAAAATATTAAGAAACTTGGGAAAAATTCAAGAATCATCATGTGGCTTTAAAATCGATGATTTTCTTTTAATCAACGTGAAATGACCCAAAAAACACGTTAAAAATAAAAAGAATGTGCAGAAAAGTGACTAACATTAGATTAACTTCAGTTATAAAACTTCTATTATATGATAACTAACTTCAGGTTTAAAATGTCAACCTCAATTTTGACATATTTGTAATCTTCATTAAAAATCCTTTAAAATGAGTACAAACACGACATATTTATCTTCAATATTAATGAAGTTATGGTCAACTTCCGGTTAAGAATGTCAACGTCAATTTTGACATATTTGTAATCGTCGTGAAAAATCCTTTAAAATGAGTCCAAACATGATACGTTTAATTCCAATATTACTCGAGATATAAGCAACTTCCGGTTTGAAATGTCAATGTCATTTTGACATATTCTTAATTTTTATAAAATGTCTTAATATTTGTCACAAAAACAAAAATATAATTAAAAAATCAAAAATTAAGGTTGGTATTAATATTTAAAAATTAAATTGCTAACTTCATTGTTGCTAACTTCGGGTGTAATTTTTTTTTATTCTACCTTTTTTGTTTTTTGAGATAAATGCATCATGTTTGGATTCATTTTAAAGATTTTTTTAATAAAGAATACATCATGAAAGAATACCATAAAGTTGTCTATTTGTCTATTATTTGATAATTAACTTCAGGTTTAAAATGTCAACCGGAATTTCGACATATTTGTAAACTTAATTAAAAATCCTTTAAAATAAGTACAAACACGGCATATTTATCTTCAATATTAATGAAGTTATGGTCAACTTCCGGTTAAGAATGTCAACGTCAATTTTGACATATTTGTAATCGTCGTNTCATTGGAAAGAGGACACTTTTATTAACACTTTGGGAAATTTTCAAACTCATATTCAAAGAAATGGATTTTATACGAATTTTTAAAACTTAATCGGCGAAAATAGCAAAATTCAAAAAAATTGTCGATTTCAAAAATTTATTTCTCAAGAACTAAAAGCGATTTTTCAAAACGGGTTTTTGCATTAAAAAGAGGATATTTTAATTAATAATTGGTGTTATTTCCACAAGGATCCTTCAAGGAATTAATTTTATAACATCGAAAATTTTATCAAAACTTTAAATATTGTTTTCTCAAAAACTAAAAGTTATTTTTCAAAACGGCTTGGTTCCTTGGAAAGAGGACACTTTTATTAACACTTTGGAAAATTTTCATACTCATATTCCAAGAAGTGAATTTTATACGAATTTTTAAAACTTAATCGGCGAAAATTACAAAATTAGAAAAAATTATCGATTATTTTAAAAATTTATTTCTCAAGAACTAAAAGCGATTTTTCTAAACGGCTTGTTTCATTAAAAAGAGGATATTTTAATTAATAATAGGTGATATTTCCACAAGGATCCTTCCAGAAATTAATTTTATAGCGAATTTTGAAAATTATCGATTAAAATTGCAACATCAAAAATTNAATATTAAAGTTAAATATGTCGAGTTTGGACTCATTTTAAAGGATTTTTTATGAAGTTGACAAATATGTCAAAATTAAAAGTTGAAAGTTCGAATTTTTTGGTTTTTTGAGATAAATGCGTCAAGTTTGGACTCACTTTAAAGGTTATTTTATGAAGATTACGAATATAATAATAAAATGAAAGCTGACATTGACAACTGAAAGTTTTTTTCACGACTAAACCCGAATGATTCTAGTTCTAGGTCTTGTGTTAGTTTTAATGCTAGTGTAATACTTAGAAGAATTAACACTAGAACACTAGAAACACTAGAAGTAACACTAGAATTAACACTAGACCTAGAACTACAAATATTCGGATTTAGCCGTACGTCATTACGTCTGTCAAGTTGGCACTACATCTTGTGATTTGAATAAAAAAAAACTATCATTTTGACATATTCTTAATTTTTGTAAAATGTCTTAATATTTGTCACAAAAACAAAAATATAATAAAAAAAATTAAAAATTAAGGTTGGTATTTTCATTGTTGCTAACTTCGGGTTTAATGTTTTTTATTCTAACTTTTTTATTTTTTGAGAGAAATGTATCATGTTTGGATTCATTTTAAAGGTTTTTTAATGAAGATGACAAGTATGTCAAAACGTTGACGTTTTAAACCGGAAGTGATTGTATCTCCATTAATATCAAAGTTAAACATGTCGAGTTTGGACTCATTTTAAAGGATTTTTTATGAAGATTACGAATATAATAATAAAATTAAAGTTGACATTGACAACTGAGATTTTTTTTCATGACTAAACCCAAATGTTTCTAGTTCTCGTTCTAGTTTTAGTTCAAATAAAAGACATAAACTTTTAATTTTATACTAACATCTAGAAAACGACACTGGTTCGAAATTGTAGGTTCATCTATTTTTTCAATTGTAGAATTTCTTGGTGTATCTAAGTGTTGTATCTAAGTCGGTTCATAGACGTATGATGCAAATCGGGCTTGAAATCGTATAACGTGATTGGCGCTTTATCTTTTAAAACAAATGGTGTTTTAGGTTCATTTTTTCTAAGATAAGTTACACCTTTACCTACCAGACAGCAACGATAAAATGTCGCTTAGTCAAGTGATGTATAGCGCGGTCCAATTTATCGAGGCAGAAGCGAAGAACCAAAACCATTAACATTTGCAGAAGAAGACTTCATGCGCAGAACCAATGTATCTAAAGCAGAAACAAATGATAATGTTTAGAAGTTAAAAATCGTTAATTTTTGTTGAAGTAGATTAAATTATGCTTCATTAAACCAAGACTAACGTTAACTGGATAACGAAAAGCTCTAAATATCAACGATTCTTATCAAAGTCAACCTATTTTTGCATATGTGATAATAAATATAGCACTCCATTTAAAATAAAAATTAATGGTGTACATCCGGTGGATCGGAAGTGGCGAAAATCTGGAAAATGTGTTAGATCGAAAGATCTGGATGAACATCCCATATAAACATAATTTCAGAAACGTAGGTGCAAAGGAACCAAAAAAAAAACAGGCTGTTGCTGACTTTTTGCCTAACACTGTATTTTCCTCCGTTAACTGAGATTGCTGAGATATAATATATCTAAGGCAGAAATAAAATATGTTTAGAAGCAAAAAATTACTGGTAAAAGGAAAACAAATAGACACAAAAATGATATCATGGTGTTGTAAAAAAGACTATATTATATGTAGAAATAAAATATCACAGGTTGAATTTGATACTGAGAAGTTAATATCAAAGGCAGAAGAAAAATTATGATATCTAGAAGTAAATATCAATGCCGGAAGTAATTTATCAAGTGTAGAAGAATAGAAATAGAAGCAGGATTAAAACTATTGACATCTATGGAAGAAGACTTTATGTGCAGAACCAATTCATCTAAAACAGAAACAATATAGGGTGTTTCACTTAAAACTGCCAGGCCAAGTATCTCTGGAATGGGTTGAGATATCTTAGAGATATCTCTTCTAATATCAATAACAAAACATTAAAAAAACTAATTAACAAAATAAAAACAGAATTACATTTTAGGTTACCAAAAAACTTTTTCACCATAATAATAATTGGAACAACAAAAAAACTTATAATAATTGCAAAATTACTTCCATTTTTGTATATCATGTGCAGAAGCTAAAAATCAGAAGCAAAAGCAAAACAAATAGGTACAAAAACAATATTAGAAGCAAAATATCACAGGTTCAGTATGATACTGAGAAGTTAACATCAAAGGTAGAAGTAAATTATGATGTCTAGAAGTAACACATCAATGATATAAGTAATTTATCCTATACAAAAACACAGAAATAAACCTATTGACATTTGCAGAAAAAGACTTTGTGTGAAGAAACTATATATCTTATTGTTAGAAAGAAACAAAATATCGCGTTCAGAAACTAAAAATCAGAGAATGAAAGCAGAAATAAATTATGAGTACAAGCAAAATAGGATTTCATAGGATTTAAATGGCAGAAGCAAGTTATCGGTAATAAAAGGAATAAATTATGCGTAGAATGAAAAAATAGATGCAGCAATGTAGTATTAAGGATATGTGCTGAAGAAAACGTTATTGGCAGAAACAAATTATTATGATTCAAAATTGAATATCAAAGATGGGAGATGCATAAAAGAATATATCATGCCCAGAAAGTTGATTTTCATATCTAGAAGTAAAACATCATGATCAGAAGTTATTTATGAAGCGTGGAAGCAAAGAAATAGAAGCAGAATCAAAACCATTGTCGTACGCAGAGGAGAACGTCAAGCACAGCAAATTATCATGTACTAACGCCAAAGAATGCTCGCAGATATTGATTGATAGAGCCTCTCTTGTATCATTTGTTCAAAAGTAAATTAAAATTTCTGGTAATCTTGCCACAGCATTAGTAGGTTGTACAAAGTAATGCTGTTTTTGAAGTATTTGTCTGAGAAAAGGTATCATAGGCCATGATGGTGAAATCATTAATCTTGATGCTGGTGCCGTTAGTTGTTGAAGAAAGTGTCTCCATAACCTGTGCGATACCTCCATAAATAAATTTAATGCGCTTTCTACATCAATTTGAAATACCAAATGTAGTCATTCTGTTAGGTTATACTATTTGTTCAGGTTATACCTTCACTCTTCTAATTCATATGATCTCCAGAAAGGTTCTATCTTGAATCTTTATTTTTTGGTTTTTTTTAATTAATATTTTAATTAGTAACTTATTCAAATGCTTCAATGTATGACAAATTTTATCAAAACTTCAAATATTGTTTTCTCAAAAACCAAAAGCTATTTTTCAAAACAGGTTGGTTCATTGGAAAGAGGACACTCTTATTAACACTTTGGGAAATTTTCATACTCATATTCCAAGAAGTGGATTTTATACGAATTTTTAAAACTAACAACAAAAACTAAAAGTTATTTTTCAAAAACAAAAAGCGATATCCGTTCCACCACTATATGTTATAAAATTAAGGTGTATTAAAAAGTTAAATGCATGGTTATGTACTTCTTACTATATCTTCTTATTTCTTTGTAAGCTTATATCTATTCCAATATATTTCTCTTTGTAGCTGTGTTTAGAAGGAAAAGTTGTTTTCGTAATTAATAAAAATGAAATGACTCAATAAAAAATTATGAAACAACTTTCTCCTTAACCGTATGTTTCTAATCAAATTATGACCCTTTTAATATAACAAAATAAGATTATCTCTCCCGCTTTTCAGGACGACAAAAAATAATCCAAAAAAATACAGTTGACGAAGCTTGTGACCTCTGCGCATGCTGCCAACTAAACAATAGGCTGGCCAAAATCCTTTTAAAACAATTACACGCATACACATAATAAGGCAATGTTCAAAAAATGAGTAACTAACCAAAAAATCCCGTTCAAAAAATGATATTAGCCACGAAGACGAATCTAATACAACGCCGGAAGCCGAAGAAAGACACCGACACTTGGCCGTTCAAGAGTACATCGCAGCAACGTTGGATAAACACAAGAAAATTGATTGTTTGGATGTGTCGACGAAGAAAACAACAAATGTTTTTACCATTTTTATTATTGTAGTTGTCTCGATTGTATTTTTGTACGTACAAAGAGCGGTTTATTTTGCGTAGTAGAAAATATATAACACAAAAAAAGAAGTTATAATAAAGTTTTATAATATAAAAAAAAAAATTATATCAGATTTTATCGAAGATTATTGAGGGTTGTGATGTTTAATGATCGAAAGTGACTAAATAAAAACGAATTGAGATTAAATAATGTTGTGAAATGAAACGATTTCTCGAAACGACTGTTTTAAAACGAAAAAAAAATGTGTTTTAGAGACGTGATATAGATGTATTATATTGATTTTTTTTGTAAATTAACGTTTAATATTTGTTAAATGTTTACCAATATTGATATCTATTAATTATCGTAAATAAATGTGTATGAATACTTAGTTGATCAATTTAAGTTTAATTCTTGATACAAATTAATCTAATTAAACATTAATTGATCAATTAGATATGATTCTATGAATTGTTGTATGTAGAAAAAGGTGCATGTTAGAACGAATATAACGAATTAATAAAGAAAATTTTAATATTCAATAAAGACAAAGAAGAGTATAATATGTTAGACAATACACAGGTTTAATCAATGATTAATATAAACTCATTCAGGGGATTTCATACTTTTACAATACAAAAAGAAATGTACACTAGAGAAAAAATTGCCTATTTTTAACTCTGTACCTGAAAATAAAACTGAAAAATTGAAATAAAAATTTGTATCTTTGTGTATTCATGTCTACTATTTTAAAATAACAATAAATCTATTTATTTTATTGGTTTTTTTATTATGTACTCATAAATACTTGTAACGAATTGTTATTTGAATTTATTATGAAAATAAGAGTTGAAGAGAAGTATCCTTTTCTGGGAAATGGGATTGAATTGAAAAATATGATTTATATTGAGTGATAAAGAATTGTTTGAAAATAGTTTGTACCAAGTTTTAAATTTTTTGATAAAAAAAGAAAAAATATTAATTGTCGGTTTGTANAAATTAAGGTTGGTATTAATATTTAAAAATTAAATTGCTAACTTCATTGTTGCTAACTTCGGGTGTAATTTTTTTTTATTCTAACTTTTTTGTTTTTTGAGATAAATGCGTCATGTTTGGACTCATTTTAAAGGTTTTTTAATGAAGATGACAAATATGTTAAAATTGACTTTGACGTTTCAAACCGGAAGTGATTGTATTTCCATTAATATTAAAGTTAAATATGTCGAGTTTGGACTCATTTTAAAGGATTTTTTATGAAGTTGACAAATATGTCAAAATTAAAAGTTGAAAGTTCGAATTTTTTGGTTTTTTGAGATAAATGCGTCAAGTTTGGACTCACTTTAAAGGTTATTTTATGAAGATTACGAATATAATAATAAAATGAAAGCTGACATTGACAACTGAAAGTTTTTTTCACGACTAAACCCGAATGATTCTAGTTCTAGGTCTTGTGTTAGTTTTAATGCTAGTGTAATACTTAGAAGAATTAACACTAGAACACTAGAAACACTAGAAGTAACACTAGAATTAACACTAGACCTAGAACTACAAATATTCGGATTTAGCCGTACGTCATTACGTCTGTCAAGTTGGCACTACATCTTGTGATTTGAATAAAAAAAAACTATCATTTTGACATATTCTTAATTTTTGTAAAATGTCTTAATATTTGTCACAAAAACAAAAATATAATAAAAAAAATTAAAAATTAAGGTTGGTATTTTCATTGTTGCTAACTTCGGGTTTAATGTTTTTTATTCTAACTTTTTTATTTTTTGAGAGAAATGTATCATGTTTGGATTCATTTTAAAGGTTTTTTAATGAAGATGACAAGTATGTCAAAACGTTGACGTTTTAAACCGGAAGTGATTGTATCTCCATTAATATCAAAGTTAAACATGTCGAGTTTGGACTCATTTTAAAGGATTTTTTATGAAGATTACGAATATAATAATAAAATTAAAGTTGACATTGACAACTGAGATTTTTTTTCATGACTAAACCCAAATGTTTCTAGTTCTCGTTCTAGTTTTAGTTCAAATAAAAGACATAAACTTTTAATTTTATACTAACATCTAGAAAACGACACTGGTTCGAAATTGTAGGTTCATCTATTTTTTCAATTGTAGAATTTCTTGGTGTATCTAAGTGTTGTATCTAAGTCGGTTCATAGACGTATGATGCAAATCGGGCTTGAAATCGTATAACGTGATTGGCGCTTTATCTTTTAAAACAAATGGTGTTTTAGGTTCATTTTTTCTAAGATAAGTTACACCTTTACCTACCAGACAGCAACGATAAAATGTCGCTTAGTCAAGTGATGTATAGCGCGGTCCAATTTATCGAGGCAGAAGCGAAGAACCAAAACCATTAACATTTGCAGAAGAAGACTTCATGCGCAGAACCAATGTATCTAAAGCAGAAACAAATGATAATGTTTAGAAGTTAAAAATCGTTAATTTTTGTTGAAGTAGATTAAATTATGCTTCATTAAACCAAGACTAACGTTAACTGGATAACGAAAAGCTCTAAATATCAACGATTCTTATCAAAGTCAACCTATTTTTGCATATGTGATAATAAATATAGCACTCCATTTAAAATAAAAATTAATGGTGTACATCCGGTGGATCGGAAGTGGCGAAAATCTGGAAAATGTGTTAGATCGAAAGATCTGGATGAACATCCCATATAAACATAATTTCAGAAACGTAGGTGCAAAGGAACCAAAAAAAAAACAGGCTGTTGCTGACTTTTTGCCTAACACTGTATTTTCCTCCGTTAACTGAGATTGCTGAGATATAATATATCTAAGGCAGAAATAAAATATGTTTAGAAGCAAAAAATTACTGGTAAAAGGAAAACAAATAGACACAAAAATGATATCATGGTGTTGTAAAAAAGACTATATTATATGTAGAAATAAAATATCACAGGTTGAATTTGATACTGAGAAGTTAATATCAAAGGCAGAAGAAAAATTATGATATCTAGAAGTAAAATATCAATGGCAGAAATAATTTATCAAGTGTAGAAGCACAGAAATAGAAGCAGGACTAAAACCATTGACATCTATGGAAGAAGACTTTTTGTGCAAAACCAATTCATCTAAGACAGAAACAAAATATCATGTGCAGAAACTAAAAATCAGGAGTAAAAGTAAAACAAATAGGTGCAAAAACAATATCAGAAGCAAAATATCACAGATTTAGTATGATACTGAGCATTTAACATCAAAGGTAGAAATTATGATATCTGGAAGTAACACATCAATGATATAAGTAATTTATCATATACAGGGTGTTTCTATAAGTCGTGGCATAATTTTAATCACAAATACTCAAAATGGTACTCAAAGGTTATTTTCTTAAAACTTTTTTATTATATCATAAACCAATAATTGGTGATATTTCCTCAAGGATCCTTCAAGAAATTAATTTTATAGCGAATTTTGAAAGTTATCGATGAAAATTGCAACATCGAAAATTTTATCAAAACTTCAAATATTGTTTTCTAAAAAATTAAAAGTTATTTTTCAAAACGTGTTGGTTCATTGGAAAGAGGACGCTTTTATTAACATTTTGGGAAATTTTCATAGTCAAATTCCAAAAAATCGATTTTATACGAATTATTAAAATTTAATCGGCTAAAATTGCAAAATTCGAAAAAAATTTCGATTATTTCAACAATTTATTTCTCAAGAACTAAAAGCGATTTTTCAAAACGGCTTTTTGCATTAAAAAGAGGAAATTTTAATTAATAATTGGTGATATTTACACAAGGATCCTTCAAGAAATTAATTTTATAGCGAATTTTGAAAGATATCGATGAAAATTGTAACATCGAAATTTTTATTAAAACATCAAATATTGTTTTCTCAAAAACTAAAAGTTATTTTTCAAAACGGGTTGGTTCATTGGAAAGAGGTTACTTTTATTAACACTTTCGAAAATTTTCATACTCATATTCCAAGAACTGAATTTTATACGAATTTTTAAAACTTAATCGGCTAAAATTGCAAAATTCGAAAAATATTTCGATTATTTCAACAATTTATTTCTCAAGAACTAAAAGCGATTTTTCAAAACGGCTTTTTGCTTTAAAAAGATGATAATTTAATTAATAATAGGTGGTATTTGTATAAGGGTCCTTCAAAAAATGAATTTTATAGCGAATTTTGAAAGATATCGATGAAAATTGCAACATCGAAAATTTTATCAAAACTTCAAATATTGTTTTCTCAAAAACTAAAAGTTATTTTTCAAAACGGGTTGGTTCATTGGAAAGAGGNACCAAATTTCATGTTTCCAGCATTTATAGTTTTTTGAAAAAATTTGTTTAAAGCTGATTAAATTGTAATTTGACGTTTCTTGTAAATGAAGTTACAAAACAATGTTTTTCTCCAAAACAGTTTGGAATTGAGAAATGAAACTTTTTGGGATTACAGAAGACCGTTTGAGGTAAGATTATACCAAATTTCATGTTTCCTACATTTACAGTTTGTTCTAAAAAAATTTTAAAAATCATTTAGTGCAGTTTGACGTTTCTTGAAACTGAAGTTATAAAGATTTTTTTTGTTTCTTAAACGGTTTGGTATTAAAGATTGAAACTCTTTGAGGTTGTGGAAGAACGTTTGAAGTTAGATTATACTATATTTCATGTTTCCTGCATGTATAGTTTTTTGTACAAAATTTTAGAAAATTATTTATTGCAATTTGACGTTTCTTGAAATTGAAGTTATAAATTTTTTTTGCTTCTAAAACGGTTTGGAATTACAGATTGAAACTTTTTGAGGTTGTGGAAGAACGTTTGAGGTTAGATTATACCAAATTTCATGTTTCCAGCATTTATAGTTTTTTGAAAAAATTTGTTTAAAGCTGATTAATTGTAATTTGACGTTTCTTGTAAATGAAGTTACAAAACAATGTTTTTCTCCAAAACAGTTTAGAATTGAGAAATGAAACTTTTTGGGGTTACAAAAGAACGTTTGAGGTAAGATTATACAAAATTTCATGTTTCCTGCATGTATAGTTTTTTGTAAAAAAAATTTTTAAAATTGTTTAGTGCAATTTGGCGTTTCTTGAAAATGAAGTTATAACTTTTTTTTTTCTTCTAAAACGGTTTGGAATTAAAGATTGAAACTTTTTGAGGTTGTGGAAGAACGTTTGAGGTTAGATTATACCAAATTTCATGTTTCCAGCACTTATAGTTTTTTGTAAAAATTTGTTTAAAGCTGATTAAATGTAATTTGACGTTTCTTGTAAATGAAGTTACAAAACAATGTTTTTCTCCAAAACAGTTTGGAATTGAGAAATGAAACTTTTTGGGGTTACAGAAGAACGTTTGAGGTAATATTGTACCAAATTTCATGTTTCCAGCATGTATAGTTTTTTTTTAATTTTTAAAAATTATTTAGTGCAATTTGACGTTTGTTGAAAATGAAGTTATAACATTTTTTCTTCTTCTAAAACCGTTTGGAATTAAAGATTGAAACTTTTTGAGGTTGTGGAAGAACGTTTGAGGTTAGATTATACCAAATTTCATGTTTCCAGCATTTATAGTTTTTTGTAAAAATTTGTTTAAAGATGATTCATTCCTTTTCTGGGAAATGGGATTGAATTGAAAAATATGACTTATATTGAGTGATAAAGAATTGTTTGAAAATAGTTTGTACCAAGTTTTAAATTTTTTGGTTGAACGGTTTTGATAAAAAAAGAAAAAATATTAATTGTCGGTTTGTATTTGACATTTTTTGAAAATAACGTCATAAAATTTTTTTTCTCCAAAACGGTTTGGAATTAAGTAATGAAACTTTTTAGGGTTACAGAAGAACGTTTAAGGTAAGATTGTACCAAATTTCATGTTTCCCGCATTTACAATTTTTTGTAAAAATTTGCTTAAAGATCATTCATTGCAATTTGACGTTTTTTGTAAATTAAGTTACAAAACAATTATTTTCTCCAAAACGGTTTGGAATTGAGAAATGAAACTTTTTGAGGTTATAGAAGAGCGTTTTAGGTCAACTCATACCAAATTTCATCTTTCCAACATGAACAGTTTTTTGTGGCTTTTGTATAAAATATTTTAAAAATCATTGATTCAATTTGACGTTTCTTGAAAATGAAGTTACAAAAAAATTTGTATCTCCAAAACGGATAGGAATTAAAAGCTGAAACATTTTGGGGTTATAAAAGAGCGTTTGAGGTTAAATCATACCAAATTTCATGATTCTAACATGAACAGCTTTTTGTATAAAGTTTTTTAAAAATTTAATATCAATTTGACGTTTCTCGAAAATGAAATTACAAAAAAATTTTTTTCTCCAAAACTGTTAGGAACTATGATTTGAAACATTTTGAGGTTATAGAAGGTCGTTTGAGGTTAGATCATACCAAAGTTCATGTTTCCAACATGAACAGTTTTTTGTATAAAATGTTTTAAAAATCTGATTACAATTTGACGTTTCTTAAAAATGAAATTTCAAAAATTTTTTTCTCCTAAACGGTTAGGAATTAATAATTGTAACTTTTTGAGGTTGTAAAAGGACATCTGAGGTTAGACCATACCAAATTTTATGTTTCCAACATTAACAGTTTTTTGTAAAAAAATTATTAAATATCACACCAAATTTCAAAACAGGTTAACGAGATTTCTGGATCTGTAGGACTGTGCACGTCCGTTGCAGTACTTAAACGTCGATATAGGGCAGCCTTGTTTTCGGCTCAATTCACCTTTCAGGGTTACCGATGATGTTAATACCTCAGCTCTGCCGTATCTGCCGTATTTGCGCATAAATTCTCTCTTGTTCGTGTTTTCTTTCTCTTTTCATGTTATTTTCTGTTTTGTCTATGTTTATGTTTATTATTTTTAAGGGGGTGATTGTGGAAGAACGATAGGAGACTATAGAACATCACCTTTTGTTCATAAATTTAGATATGTACATTTTTTGTATTTTCAATAATATGTACCTATATCGAGTTTTGTGACGTTTCTTGGAAATGAAATTTCAAAAATTTTTTTTTCTTCTAAACGGTTAGGAATTAATAATTGAAACTTTTTAAGGTTGTAAAATGAACATCTGAGGTTAGATCATACCAAATTTTATGTTTCCAACATTAATAGTTTTTTGTAAAAAAAATTATTAAAAATCATTGATGCAATTTGACGTTTCTTGAAAATGAAATTTCAAAAATTTTTTTTTTTCCTAAACGGTTAAGAATTAATAATTGAAACTTTTTGAGGTTGTAAAAGAACATCTGAGGTTAGATCATACCAAATTTTATGTCTTCAACATTAACAGTTTTTTGTAAAAAAATTATTAAAAATCATTGATTCAATTTGACGTTTCTGGAAAATGAAATTTCAAAAATTTTTTTTCTCCTAAACGGTTAGGAATTAATAATTGAAACGTTTTGAGGTTGTAAAAGAACATGTGAGGTTATATCGTACCAAATTTTATGTTTCCAACATTAACAGTTTTTTGTAAAAAAATTATTAAATATCATTGATTCAATTTGACGTTTCTTGGAAATGAAATTAAAAAAATTTTTTTTTTCTCCTAAACGGTTAGGAATTAATAATTGAAACATTTTGAGGTTGTAAAAGAACATCTGAGGTTAGATCGTACCAAATTTTATGTTTCCAATATTAACAGTTTTTTGTAAAAAAAATATTAAATATCATTGATTCAATTTGACGTTTCTTGAAAATGAAATTTCAAAAATATTTTTTTCTCCTAATCGGTTACGAATTAATAATTGAAACTTTTTGAGGTTGTAAAAGAACATCTGAGGTTAGATCATACCAAATTTTATGTTTCCAACATTAACAGTTTTTTCTAAAAAAATTATTAAATATCATTGATTCAATTTGGCGTTTCTTGGAAATGAATTTACAAAAAAAAATTTTTCTCCTAAACGGTTAGGAATTAATAATTGAAACTTTTTGAGGTTGTAAAAGAACATCTGAGGTTAGATCATACCAAATTTTATGTTTCCAACACTAACAGTTTTTTGTAAAAAAATTATTAAACATCATTGATTCAATTTGACGTTTCTTGAAAATTAAATTTCAAAAATTTTTTTTTTTCTTAAACGGTTAGGAATTAATAATTGAAACTTTTTGAGGTTGTAAAAGAAAATCTGAGGTTAGATCATACCAAATTTTAAGTTTCCAACATTAACAGTTTTTTGTAAAAAAATTATTAAACATCATTGATTCAATTTGACGTTTCTTGAAAATTAAATTTCAAAAATTTTTTTTTTCCTAAACGGTTAGGAATTAATAATTGAAACTTTTTCAGGTTGTAAAAGAACATCTGAGGTTAGATCATACCAAATTTTATGTTTCCAATATTAACAGTTTTTTTGTAAAAAAATTATTAAAAATCATTAATTCAATTTGACGTTTCTTGAAAATAAAGTTACAAAAATTTTTTTATCTCCGAATCGGTTTTGATTTAAGAATTGAAACTTTTTTGTGTTATAAATGAACGTTTTAAAAAATTTTTAAAATAAAAATCACTCAATTTCGTCACTTTTTATTAAGTACTCATAAATAACATATTTCTTAACCTAAAAATAAAACTTAATTCCTTAAAAAAAACATTTTTAAATTCTTAAAAAATAACAAATAACGCATAATAAAAATGATAATCCAACAATTTTCTTTTTCTTAATTGTTTTCTTACATATTAAAATCACAATTTCATTCAGGTGAACATTACAATAAATAATATTCAACGTAGCAGCCTTTTCATTATTTTTAAACTTGTTTTTTCCTCCAAATCGTTGAGATGATTCAACGCTTATCGGGTAATTTTAAGGCATAATACTGCTTTTGTAATCTTTGTTTGCAGAATTCATAAAATTCGATTTCTTTCGTAAAATTTTGTCGGACGATGTCTTTCACTTCTTCACTCACCGGAGGTTTATACATGTTCCTATTGATTGTGTTGTATCTTTTAATCTCATCTAAAATAAATAAATCAAATCAAATAAATTTATTATTTGAAATAAATTTAAATAATTACTGTAATAAACATCAGTTGCACCCTCAAAAAATTTCGGAATATAATGTTCCAAAACTTTTAAAGTCATATTTAAGTCTTCTAAAACCCCAACGACAGCGTAATGCTGATCGACAGCTTGTTTAGCTTTTTGGAGGGCGATGTCCGTGTTAAAAGGGGTGCAATCTTCGTGGTGCCCACAAAAAAACATTGATTGTCTACGATGATCTCCGATTCCTTCCCTCGTTTCACCTTTAATGTATCTACATTCTCTATCTCCAGATAAAACGCAATGCTCAAAATCTTTTTTTAACCATTTAGGATCAGGAAGTGGGATATCTGGGAATGCTATTTTTCTTTCGACGTAATACCACGGTGCTCTAACGTAATAATACCAAGATATTACCCTCTCGATTGGATCACGAACTAAATTTACATAAATTGGTTCAGGAATATCAAATCTACAACACAAAAATTAAAATATCAATACAAATATAATTAATGAAATGACGTACTCTGAAAAATTTGTAAAACAAACGTGTTTGATGTAAACACTCGGTTCATCATAACTTTGTACCATAGCCGCTAACGAAGCTTGGTCTTCGGGGGCTAATCGGATAGTTTCAACTCTTTGAACGCGATCCTGATGAAATTCAAATTCGTTTCTCATGCTGAGTAATCGTAAAAGTTCCATAAAAGTTTGAGACCCAACTTTTGGAACTCGGTTGAAAAAGAGTATGTCTCGCTTTGCTTTTTTCGTGTTATTCAACTGGTACGGTTCCAAAGAAGTCATCTGAAACTGTTTAAGAAAAAATCAACCTTGAATACAACCAAATGAGAAAAAAACGAGCAAGAAAGTAAAAAATCCGGTTTAAAATAATCTGGATTTTTCACTTTCTTTTTCTTTCTCGATACTTGAATTGGTTAAGGTCCGGTTAAGGTTTCGAGTTAAAACGATAAAGTTTCACTTGAAGACATTGACTTATTTTTTTTTAAACTTTCTTTAGAGTCTATTAGGTAGATTTTTAGGAAAAGGATTAAGAGAAAATGCATTTTTTCAAAACGGGTTAGAATTGAGAAAAGAAACTTTTTGGGGTTATTTCCTGCATTAACAGATTTTTGTATAAACGATTTTAAATATCATTGATTTTAATTTGATGTCTTTAGAAAATAAGGTTGAAGAAAAGTATCAATTTCTCCGAAATGGATTGGAATTGAAAAATATAACTTATATCAGGTCATAAAGGATTGTTTGAAGATAAGTTGTGCCAAATTTTAAGTTTCTAGCTTGAACGGTTTATCAACAAAAAGATACATAAATCGTTCTTTTTAATTTGACGTTCTTTGAAAATAAGGTTGAAGAAAAGTATAAATTTCTCCGAAATGGATTGGAATTGATAAATATAACTTATACGGGGTCATAAAGGATTGTTTGAAGATAGGTTGTACCAAATTTTAAGTTTCTAGGTTGAACGGCTTATTTATAAAAAAAATACATAAATCGTTGCTTTTAATTTGACGTTCTTTAAAAATAAGGTTGAAGAAAAGTATCTATTTCTCAGAAACGGATTGGATTTGAAAAATATAACTTATACGGGGTCATAAAGGATTGTTTGAAGATAAGTTCTGCCAAGTTTTAAGTTTCTAGCTTGAATGGTTTATTAACAAAAAGATACATAAATCGTTCTTTTTAATTTGACGTTCTTTGAAAATAAGGTTGAAGAGAAGTATCTATTTCTCCGAAATGGATTAGAATTGAAAAATATAACCTATAGGGGGTCATAAAGGATTGTTTGAAGATAGGTTGTACCAAATTTTAAGTTTCCAAAATGAAAGGTGCTTTTTACAGAAAAGAAATATTAATATCAATTCAAATTTGACGTACATATGTGTGTATATTGAAAATGAAGTTATTAAAAACGTCTTTTCTCGAAAACGGTTTAAAATTGAGAAATGAAACTTTTCGGGGTTATAAAAGAATGATTGAGGTTATATGGTACCAAATTTCATGTTTCCAACATGAATAGTTTTTTTTGTATAAAATGTTTTAATAATTTGATTACAATTTAACGTTTCTCTAAAATGAAATTACAAAAAATATTTTTTCTCCAAAACGGTTAAGAATTAAGAGTTGAAACTTTTTGAGGTTATAGAAGAACGTTTGAGGTTAGATCATACCAAATTTCATATTTTCAAGATGAACAGTTTTTTGTATAAAAATTTTTAAAAATTTGATTACAATTTGACGTTTCTCGAGAATGAAATCACAAACATTCTTTTTTCTCCTAAACGTTAGGAATTAAGAGTTGAAACTTTTTGAGGTTATAGAAGAACGTTTGAGGTTAGATCGTACCAAAGTTCATACTTCCAACATGCACAGTTTTTTGTATAAAATTTTTTTAAAATCTGATTTCAATTTGACGTTTCTCAAAAATGAAATTACAAAAAAAAATTTTTCTACGAAACGGTTAGGAATTGAGAGTTGAAACATTTTGAGGTTATAAAAGAACGTTTGAGGTTAGATCATACCAAATTTCATGTTTCCAACAAGAACAGTTTTTTATATAAAATGTTTTAAAAATTTGATTTGAATTTGACGTTTCTCGAAAATGAAGTTACAAAAAAATTTTTTTCTCCAAAACGGCTTGGAATTATGAGTTGAAACATTTTGAGGTTATAAAAGAACGTTAGAGGTTAGATCATACCAAATTTCATGCTTCCAACATGAACAGCTTTTTATATAATGTTTTTTAAAAATCTGATTTCAATTTAACGTTTCTCTAAAATGAAATTACAAAAAATATTTTTTCTCCAAAACGGTTAAGAATTAAGAGTTGAAACTTTTTGAGGTTATAGAAGAACGTTTGAGGTTAGATCATACCAAATTTCATATTTCCAAGATGAACGGTTTGTGTATAAACATTTTTTAAAATGTCATTTCAATTTGACATTTTTCGAAAATGAAATTACAAACAATTTTTTTTCTCCAAAACGGTTTGGAATGAAGTGTTGAAACTTTTTGAGGTTATAGAAGAACGTTTGAGGTTAGATCATATTAAATTTCATGTTTCCAACATGAACAGTTTTTTGTATAAAATGTTTTAAAAATCGGATTACAATTTGACGTTTCTCGAAAATGAAGTAACAAAAAAATTTTTTTCTCCAAAACGGCATGGAATTATGAGTTGAAACATTTTGAGGTTATAAAAGAACGTTTGAGGTTAAATCGTACCAAATTTCATGTTTCCAACATGAAAAGTTTTTTGTATAAAATGTTTTAAAGATCTGATTTCAATTTGACGTTTCTCGAATATGAAGTTACAAAAAATTTGTTTTCTCCGAAACGGTTAGAAATTAAGAGTTGAAACTTTTTGTGGTTATAAAAGAACGTTTGAGGTTAGATAATACCAAATTTCATGCTTCCAACATAAACAGTTTCTTGTATAAAATCTTTTCAAAATCTGATTAGAATTTGACGTTTCTCAAAAATGAAATTACAAAAAAAAATTTTTCTACGAAACGGTTAGGAATTGAGAGTTGAAACATTTTGAGGTTATAAAAGAACGTTTGAGGTTAGATCATACCAAATTTCATGTCTCCAACATGAACAGTTTTTTGTATAAAATATTTTAAAAATCTGATTTCAATTTGACGTTTCTCGAAAATGAAGTTACAAAAAAATTTTTTTCTCCAAAACGGCATGGAATTATGGGTTGAAACATTTTGAGGTTATAAAAGAGCATTTGAGATTAGATCATATCAAATTTCATGTTTCCAACATGAAAAGTTTTTTGTATAAAATGTTTTAAAAATCTGATTTCAATTTGACGTTTCTTAAAAATGAAGTTACAAAAAATTTTTTTTCTCCAAAACACCATAGAATTATGAGTTGAAACATTTTGAGGTTATAAAAGAACATTTGAGGGTAAATCATACCAAATTTCATGTTTCCAACATAAACAGTTTTTTGTATAAACTGTTTTAAAAATCTGATTTCAATTTGACGTTTCTCGAGAATGAAGTTACAAAAATTTTTTTTCTCCAAAACGGTTAAGGATTAAGAGTTGAAACTTTTTGAGGTTATAGAAGAACGTTTGAGGTTAGATCATACCAAATTTCATGTTTCCAACATGAACAGTTTTTTGTATAAACTGTTTTAAAAATATGATTACAATTTGACGTTTCTCGAAAATGAAGTTACAAAAAAAAAATTTTTCTACGAAACGGTTAGGAATTGAGAGTTGAAACATTTTGAGGTTATAGAAGAACGTTTGAGGTTAAATCACACCAAATTTCATGTTTCCAACATGAACAGTTTTTTGTATAAAATGTTTTAAAAATCTGATTTCAATTTGACGTTCCTCGAAAATGAAATTACAAAAAATTTTTTTTCTCCAAAACGGCATGGAACTATGAGTTGAAATATTTTGAGGTTATAAAAGAACGTTTGAGGTTAGATCATACCAAATTTCATGTTTCCAACATGAACAGTTTTTTGTATAAACTGTTTTAAAAATATGATTACAATTTGACGTTTCTCGAAAATGAAGTTACAAAAAAAAAATTTTTCTACGAAACGGTTAGGAATTGAGAGTTGAAACATTTTGAGGTTATAGAAGAACGTTTGAGGTTAAATCACACCAAATTTCATGTTTCCAACATGAACAGTTTTTTGTATAAAATGTTTTAAAAATCTGATTTCAATTTGACGTTCCTCGAAAATGAAATTACAAAAAATTTTTTTTCTCCAAAACGGCATGGAACTATGAGTTGAAATATTTTGAGGTTATAAAAGAACGTTTGAGGTTAGATCATACCAAATTTCATGTTTCCAAGATGAACAGTTTTTGTATAAAAATGTTTAAAAATGTAATTTCAATTTGACGTTTCTCGAAAATGAAATTACAAACAATTTTTTTTCTCCAAAACGGTTTGGAATGAAGTGTTGAAACTTTTTGAGTTTATAGAAGAACGTTTGAGGTTAGATCATATCAAATTTCATGTTTCCAAGATGAACAGTTTTTTGTATAAAAATTTTTAAAAATTTGACGTTTCTCGAGAATGAAATCACAAAAATTCTTTTTTCTCCTAAACGTTAGGAATTAAGAGTTGAAACTTTTTGAGGTTATAGAAGAACGTTTGAGATTAGATCGTACCAAAGTTCATACTTCCAACATGCACAGTTTTTTGTATAAAATTTTTTAAAAATCTGATTTCAATTTGACGTTTCTCAAAAATGAAATTACAAAAAAAAATTTTTCTACGAAACGGTTAGGAATTGAGAGTTGAAACATTTTGAGGTTATAAAAGAACGTTTGAGGTTAGATCATACCAAATTTCATGTCTCCAACATGAACAGTTTTTTGTATAAAATATTTTAAAAATCTGATTTCAATTTGACGTTTCTCGAAAATGAAGTTACAAAAAAATTTTTTTCTCCAAAACGGCATGGAATTATGGGTTGAAACATTTTGAGGTTATAGAAGAACGTTTGAGGTTAGATCATACCAAATTTCATGTTTCCAACATGAACAGTTTTTTGAATACAATTTTTTAAAAATCTGATTTCAATTTGACGTTTCTTGAAAATGGAATTACAAAAAAATTTTTTTCTCCAAAACGGTTAGGAATTAAGAGTTGAAAGTTTTTGGGGTTATAGAAGAACGTTTGAGGTTAGATCATACCAAATTTCATGTTTCCAACATGAACAGTTTTTTGTATAAAATGTTTTAAAAATCTGATTACAATTTAACGTTTCTCGAAAATGAAGTAACAAAAAATTTTTTTTCTCCAAAACGGCTTGGAATTATAAGTTGAAACATTTTGAGGTTATAAAGGAACGTTTG